CGCCTCCCAAGTAGCTGGGACCACAGGCGCCCGCCACAACGCCCGGCTATTTTTTGGTTGCAGCCATCATTGTTGTTTGGCGGGTCTGGGCTGGGGATTCGAACCCGCCACCTTAGGTGTACGTGGCTGGCGCCTTAGCCGGTTGAGCTATAGGAGCCAAGCCAGAATATAAATGTCTTAACACAATAACTAAGAAAAACACATGAAGGCTATGTTAACCAGTTGGGTGAAAGTATTTCAAATTATTCAAAGTATTCAAAGTATATAGAAACAGTACACTGTACCCCATGATAGCATTATTACACAGATATGATTTAATAAAAAAAAAGAAATCACATGATTGCTGCAACGAAATATTGAACAATAACAATAATAATAATAATAAAAAAGTAACATTCACATTGTCAGATAAAAGTATGTCTATCTTAATGTACACAGCTATGTTTTAATAAAAAAAAAGTATGTCTATCATAGAATGCTTTGACTCTGAGGTTCAGTATGGAGTCATGAATTAACTTCTTTTTTTTCCCCAAAGTCTCAAAAATAGAGAATATTTATTTTTGTAAATAAAAATAGAAGATAATTTCAAAAAACAAATCATACTTCAAAATCATTCTACTTCATCTGGATATACCTGATATTAAAATTGAAAAATATATTATTATAAAGAGAAATTACAAACATATTTCACTTATAAATGAGGATGCAGTATCCTAAACAACATATTAACAAGTTGAATTAAAAATTATTGTTCAAATAGTGTACTTTGGTCAAAATTAAATCCAATTTATGTGAGAATTAGTCACTATTTTCTTTTTTTTTCCTTTCCCTCGCCCCCATCCTCCTTCTCTTTCTGTCTGTGCTCCTCTCCCCCCATTCCCCCACTGTGTCATTAATTGTCCTCATATCAAAGTTGAATACATAGGATTCATGCTTTTCCATTCCTGTGATGCTTCACTAAGAATAACGTGTTCCACCTCCATCCAGGTTAGTGCAAATGCTTCAAAATCTCCACCTTTTTTAATGGCTGAATAGTATTCCATGGTATACATATACCACAGCTTATTAATCCATTCCTGGGTTGGTGGGCATTTAGGCTGTTTCCACATTTTAGCAATTGTAAATTGAACTGTGATAAACAGTCTAGTATAATTTTCTTTATAATAAAAGCTTTTTTTTTCCCTTCTGGATAGATTCCCAGTAATGGGATTGCAGGATCAAACGGGAGGTCTAGGTTGAGTTCTTTGAGGTTTCTCCACACTTCCTTCCAAAAAGGTTGTATTAGTTTGCAGTCCCACCAGCAGTGTAAAAGTGTTGCTTTCTCTCCACATCCCCGCCAGCATCCAGTTTTGAGATTTTGTGATATGCGCCATTCTTGCTGAGGTTAGATGGTATCTCAGGGTGGTTTTAATTTGCACTTCTCTAATAATTAGGGGTGACGAGCATTTTTTCATGTTTGCTAGCCATTCATCTGTCTTCTTCAGAGAAGGTTCTGTTCATCTCTCTTCCCCATTGATGTATGGGATTGTTGGCTTTTTTCATGTGGATCAATTTGAGTTCTCTATAGATCCTAGTTATTAAGCTTTTGTCTGATTCAAAATATGCAAATATCCTTTCCCATTGGGTAGGTTGTCTATTTGCTTTGGTTGTTGTCTCCTTAGCTGTACAGAAGATTTTCAGTTTAATCAAATCCCATTTGTTTATTTTTGTTGTTGTTGCAATTGCCACAGCGGTCTTCTTCATGAAGTCTTTCCCCGGGCCGATATCTTTGAGTGTTTTTCCTATGCTTTCTTTGAAGACTTTTATTGTTTCATGCCTTAAATTTAAGTCCTTTATCTATCTTGAATCAATTTTTGTGAGTGAAGAAAGGTGTGGGTCCAGTTTCAGTCTTTTACGTGTGGATATCCAGTTCTCCCAGCGCCGTTTATTGAATAGGGAGTCTTTCTCCCAGTGGATGTTCTTGTTAGGTTTATCGAAGATTAGGTGGTTTAAGTTGTTGGTTTCATTTCCTGGTTTTCTATTTGGTTCCAAATGTCTATGTCTCTATTTTTGCACCAGTACCATGCTGTCTTGGCCACTATGGCCTTGTAGTACAGCCTAAAAATCTGGTATGGTGATGCCCCTGGCTTTGTTATTACTAAGAACTGCCTTAGCTATACGGGGTTTTTCTGGTTCCATACAAAATGCAGAATCATTTTTTCCAAGTCTTGAAAATAGGATGTTGGTATTTTAATAGGGATGGCGTTGAATCGGTAGATCACTCTGGGAAGTATAGACATTTTAACAAAATTGATTATTCCCAGCCATAAGCATGGTATGTTGTTCCATTTGTTCAAGTCCTATGCTATCTCCTTTCTTAGGGTTTCATAATTTTCTTTATAGAGATCCTTCACCTCTTTTGTTAGGTATATTCCTAGGTATTTCATTTTCTTTGGTGCTATGATGAACGGCATTGTGTCCTTAATTAGCCTCTCATCTTGGCTGTTACTGGTGTATACAGAGGCAACTGACTTGCGGACGTTGATTTTATATCCTGTCCATTATATATCCATGGTCCAAATATATCCATTACTGTATTTTTTGATGACTTCCAAGAGTCTTGTGGTTGAGTCTTTGGGGCTCTCTAAGTATAAGATCATATGTCATCAGCAAAGAAGGAGAGTCTGACCTCCTCTGCTCCCATTTGGATGCCCTTTATATCCTTGTCTTGCCTAACTGTATTGGCCAGAACTTCCAGCACCATGTTGAATAGTAATGGTGACAGAGGACAACTTTGTCTGGTTCCAGTTCTAAGTGGCAAAGCTTTCAGTTTAACTCCATGCAGTAAAATATTACCTGTGGGTTTGTCATAGATAGCTTCAATGAGTTTAAGTAATGTGCCACCTATGCCTCAACTCTTCAGTGTTCTAACTGGAAAAGGATGCTGGATTTTATCAAATGCTTTTTCTGAATCTATTGAGGGATCATATTGGCTTTGTTTTTGCTTCTGTTGATATGGTGAATAACGTTTATGGATTTGCATATATTAAACCAGCCTTGCATCCCTGGGATGAAACCTACTTGATCAGGATGTATGACTTTTTTGATGATAAGCTATAATCTATTGGCTAGGCTTTTGTTGAGAATTTTTGCATCTATATTTATTAGTGAAACTGGTCTTGAGTTCTCCTTTTTAGTTGGGTCTTTTCCTGGTTTTGGTATCAGGGTGATGTTTGCTTCATAGAACACAAGGAAGAGATTCTTTCCTCCTCCATTTTTTGGAATAATTTCTACAGTATGGGAATAAACTGTTCTTTGAAGGTTTGATAGAATTCTGGTGTAAAGCCATCTGGACCGGGGCATTTTTTTGTTGAGAGATTTTTTATTGTTTCTTTGATCTCAGTGCTTGAAATTGGTCTATTCAGGAGATCTATTTCATCTGGGCTAAGTCTAGGGAGAGGGTGTGAATCCAAATATTGATTGCTTTCCTTCACATTGTTAAATTTCTGGGCATAAAGTTTCTGGTAGTATTCAGATATGATCTCTTGTATCTCTGTGGCATCAGTTGTTATTTCCCCTTTATCATTTCTGATTGAGGTTACTAGAGATTTTAATTTTTTATTTCTAGTTAGTCTGGCCAAAGGTTTACCTATGTTATTTATTATTTCAAAAAACCAACTCCTTATTTCATTAATTTTCTGAATGATTCTTTTGTTTTCAATTTCATTAATCTCTCATTTAATTTTGGATATTTCTTTTCTTCTGCTGGGTTTAGATTTAAGATTATTCTCCTTTTTCCAGTTCTATAAGATGGCTTGTGAGTTTGTGGATGTGCTCTCTTTCTGTTTTTCAAATGTAGGCTTCTAAAGCGATAACTTTTCCTCTCAGGACAGCTTTTGCTGCACCCCACAGGTTTTCGTAGCTTGTCTTCATTCTTGTTAGACTCAAGGAAGTTAATGATTTCCTTTTTTACTTCTTCCTGCACCCAACTGAATATACATTCTTCTCATCTTCCCATGGAACATTCTCCAAAATTGATCATATCCTAGGACACAAAATAAACCTCAACAGAATCAAAAGAATTGAAATTTTACCTTGCATCTTCTCAGACCACAAGGCACTAAAGGTGGGACTCAACTCCAACAAAAATGTTTAACCCCACACAAAGGCATGGAAGTTAAACAACCTTATGCTGAATAACAGTTGGGTATCAGTTTCTTTTTAAAAGGCAAACTAAACTCAAAAGAAGGCCCAGATTCAGTAGCTGCAGCAGGATAACTCGTAATTAATTCTACCCTATTTGTAATTCTCTACCTACCACCTCAAAAGGAATCCAAAGCAATGTTCATGGTTATGGTTATGGAGGTTAAAGTGACTCCATCTTGAGTACTAATCTGCCATGTTGACTTTTGAGTAACCACAGTTCTGGGGACACCACTAAGATTTCCAGTTTATCTACTATACCTTATGTAAGAGCATGAATTTACTGTAAAGCCTGTCTTTAGAGCAAAACAACCTAGATGTCATCACACAAATTACAGGCTAATACACAGCACTCTTGTCTTTCCTGGAAAGTCAATCCCTATGATATATAAGCCCTAGGTCTGGGTGGGTAGCAGTAGCAAGATCTCCCTGTCTAGTGGGCACAGAAGACCCCACTTCTGTCTCTACGTTCTCCAGTAAACACCTTCTTCTGACAAACTGCTTTTCTCTGCAGTGTTCTCTGGTTTCTCTGTTCCTTCTGCATTTGGGGGTCACTTTGCCCATGTGGTACTCTGGACTGTATTCTAGAACAGAAAAATTTGGAAACTGGTGAAATCCATATAAGGTCAGGAGTTTAATTAATATTAAGATGCATTGTTGGCCAGATGCGGTGGATCCTGTCTGTAATCCTAGCACTCTAGGAAGCTAAGGAGGAAGGATTGCTTGAGATCAGCCTGAGCAAGAATAAGACCACCATCTCTACTAAAAATAGGAAAATGAGCTGGGTATGGTGGCAGATGACTGTACTTCCAGCTACTCAGGAAGCTGAGCAGGAGAATCGCTTGGACCCAGAAGTTGAGGTTGCTGTGAGCTATAATGATGCCACAGCAACAGGGTGAAGCTTGTGCAACAGGGTGAAACTCTAAAAGAAAAAAAAAATGCTTTGTTGGTTTCTGGATTTTGACAAATGTGTCTTAGTAATGTAAAATGTTAACTTTAGGGGAAATTAAAATTAGGTGAGAGGCATGTGGCACTCTCTGTCCTATCTCTGCACTTTCTCTGTAAATCTAATGTTATTCAAAACCATAAACTTTATATTAAAAAAATCCAATATGGGCAGCGCCTATGGCTCAAAGGAGTAGGGCGCCAGCCCCATATGCCGGAGGTGACAGGTTCAAACCCAGCCCGGCCAAAAATTGCAAAATTATAATAATAATAATAATCCAATAATAAAATTAATTACTAAGGGAAAACCATGTTTTTATCATGGGTTCTGTGTTCTAAACACAGAAGATTTTATTATATCTCTAAATAATGGGTAAGCAATAGTTTTGTATCAGAGGTTTTTTTTTTGTTGTTGTTGTTGTTGTTTTGAGACAGAGCCTCAAGCTGTCCCCCTGGGTAGAGTGCTGTGGCATCACAGCTCACAGCAACCTCCAACTCCTGGGGCTCAAGCTTTTCTCCTGCCTCTGCCTCCCAAGTAACTGGGACTACAGGTGCCTGCCACAACACCTGGCTATTTTTTGGTTGCAGCCGTCATTGTTGTTTGGTGGGCCCAGGCTGGATTTGAACCCTCCAGCTCAGGTGTATGTGGCTGGCGCCTTAGCTGCTTGAGCCACAGGCACTGAGCCTGTATCATAGTTTGTTTAAAGGAACGACAAAAGGCATTTCACTTTATATTGCTACCTTTCCTTCATAACTGGCTTTACATCCTCTCTCATTCTTTCCCATTGTCATCTGTGTAGTCCTTTTCCTACCAATTGCAACCATTTCTAAATGCAAGGTAGAATAGAAGGTTGGCATTTTGATTCTTGGAAATAAGACTAATCTGCTTCTAAAGTGAAAAGAGTAAGGGGGAATTCAATTCTCGGACTAGGAACAGTCATTTCTATTTGTTTGTGCTTCCTTTCATGTTGATACTGCTGTAGTTCTGAGAAATGCCTGAAAAAGGATGGCCTGTAGATACCAGAAAAAAAAATCATTTCCCCTTGCCCTACTGGGGCGTCCCAGGGCCCTTGACTCCGGGTGAGAGTTTTGTCATAGAGTTCCTGGGGACCAAACCCAGGAGTTGGAAAGCTTGTCCAGAAAAAAGGGAGTGGCCCAGAATCAAGGAAGCTGGTTCTGAGGATACCTGTGGGGCTAGGCAGGAGTTTGAATGGCAGGAGGTGGGGGGAGTCCCGGATGCCTGAGGACACCAACAGCAGCCCTACTATCTTTTTTTTTTGAGACAGAGTGTCAAGCTGTCACCGTGGGTAGAGTGCCATGGGGGTCACAGCTCATAGCAACCTCAAACTCTTAAGGCTTAAGCGATTCTCTAGCCCTAGTCTCCCAAGTAGCTGGGACTATAGGTGCCTGCCACAACACCCAGCTATTTTGTTTGTTTGTTTGTTTTTGTTGCTATTGCTGTTTTAGCTGGCCCAGGACAGGTTCCAACCCACCAGCCTCAGGGTATGTGGCTGGCATCCTACCAACTGAGCTACGGGCACTGCCCAGCCCTATCATCTTTGAATAAACAGATGAGCATATCAGCCATGCTTATAGCATATTCAAGGCTAGAGTCCCTCCCCACATTTACTAAACTTTGTCCAACCCTAAAGTCCTAGGAAGTTAGGCATGGAGACTGATTTGATTTGATTTAAATAGCAAAAAAAAAGTTTTGGCCGGGGCCAGACTTGAACCCACTACCTCCCCACTCCCCTACCCAATCCCGGGTATTTGGGCCAATGCCCTACTCCTTGAGCCACAGGTGCTGCCCAAGATAGCAAAAAAAATTTTGATGGTTCTTATTTCTGAGTGCTGTTGTGAAGAAATGCATATCTGTTCCCAGCTATTTAATAAAGATACATTCTTTAGGCAGATGAAAAAACTTCTGTAGGTGAGGAAGTAAAAAATGTTTTCAGTAATCAAATTTGTCCACTGATCTATCTTGCTTCCTGTCTAAGTAAGGCTCTTTACTTACAGGTAGTTTTGAGTTAGTAAAAGCCAGGCAGGATGGCATGCAGATGTAGTCCAGCTACTTGGAAGGCTAAGGCCAGAGAATCATTTGAGCCTAGGAGCTGAAGGCCAGCGTGGGAAATGTAGCCAGACCCTTATCTTTAATTTTAGAAAAGAAAAAGGAAGAAAGGGGAGAAAAATTCCTAGCTAAGTTTAGCTATAATGCTTTGGTCACCACTGAATCTCAAGTGTCTAGAACAATTCCTGGCATGTAGCAAGTGCCCAATACATATTTGTTGAGGAATTAAAAATGTAAATGGAGCCATTTCTTTCAATACATTTTTTTTTGAGACAAAATCTCACTCTGTTACTCAGTGTAGAGTACATTTCCTAAGCTCACACATTTTCCACAGGTCTACAATTTTTTTTTTTTTTTTTTTTTTTGCCTTGTGGCATGTTTGAACCTGCCACCTCCAGCATATGGGGCTGGCACCCTACCCTTTTGAGCCACAGGCACCACCCAAATGGATCTCTTTTTTTTGCAGTTTTTGGCCGGGGCTGGGTTTGAACCTGCCACCTCTGGCATATGGGGCCAGCATCCTACTCCTTTGAGCCACAGGTGCCTCCCAGGTCTACAATTTTTTATATCATTTATATCATATATTATTTTTTATTTATAAATATTTACATTAAAAAATAACACAAGCATACAGTACAGACGGCTATACGTGTTCACCACGCCCTTTGGTCTCTAACCTGCTTGCTATCACTAGCAGTCCTCCCAAGATGGCTGTCCTCTTGTCAGGGTCATGAGGATTTCTTTCCAACACATTTATTATTCTAAGCTGTTTTAGAATTCTAAAGAACAGGGTAGCCATTAACTTTTTTATTACTGAGTAGTAGAATCCAGTTGATTATCCTAGGTCCTGGCCAGGCTAATCCACAGTGTTGATTCAGGAGATTCGTCTTATATTATTACACCATACACTGGCTTTTCCTGGAAGTCTCAGTCTTGGCATGAGCCTCTGCAAGAGGAATGCGCACCCAGAAAAAAGAAGGAATTAAAGAACACCACTGTTCCCAATAAACTTTCTCTCCCTACCGCAAACCTGACAACTGGCCAACATTGCCTGGAGCCAAATCCCTGCTATGGCCTTTCTGCAATCAGAAAATTACAGCCTTGTCCATAAATGAATATAGACAGATTGTTCAAGAAGTGAAGCCAATCTTTCCTACCCCTACTCTCCCTCATTCCAGGGCCTTAGAAAACAATTTTAATCTTTTCTACCTGCTCTTTAGTTTAAGGCAGGCTTTACCTAAGCCAATTTAGAAATGCACTGAATTTAACAAGAAAAGGCCTAATACCAGCACCAGGAAATACAGCCCTGGGCACAGGCCTGCAGACTTTAAGGGACAGGGAAAGCTGGTAGTAGCCAGCCGAGACCTGACAGGCTCCAGAGAGGTGTGCATGCTTGTGAGGTGGGCAGAGGGAAAGGGGACAGTCCAACACGGAAGTGGGGCAAAGAGCCCAGGGAAGAGATGCTGGGAACAGCCACCCATCTGCCTGATGTCATTCTGTGCAGCTGTTGTGGTGGGCTGAATAATGACCCTCCAGACTTTGTATAGTAGAAGGAACTTAGCAGATGTGACTAAGTTAAGAAACTTGAGAGGGTGAGATTTCCTGGAGTTATCTGGGTGAGCCCAAAGGAAAACAGGAAGGTCCTTATATGGGAAAGAGGCAGCAGGTGGGTCTAAGGAAGAATGTGCTGATGGCAGCAGAGACCAGAGAGAGAGAATTAAAGACTACACTGCCAGCTTGAAGATGGAAGAAAGACTCATGGCAGGGACGTGGCAGCCTTTAGCAGCTGAAAAAGTCAAGGAAACAGATTCTTCCCAGAACATCTGGAA